ATCAGACTAATCTTGGCTATAAGCAAAGAATAACAGAAGGATGTTTACTTGTGTTTTTTTTTTTTTTTTTTTTTTTGACTGTGCAAAAGTACACAACTGTGTGCATGATAATAAATTTTGGACAATATTGCAAATAATGGGAATTCCAGAACACTTAATTTTGCTCATGAGGAGCTGTACTTACACCAAGTGGCAGTCCTTTGAACACAAGAGGAAAATGCATGGTTTAAAATCAGAAAAAGTGTCATCAGGGTTGTATCCTTTCACCATACTTATTCAATCTACATGCTGAGCAAATAATCCAAGAAGCTGGACTATATGAGTAAGAAAACGGCATCAGAATTAGAAGTAAACTCATTAACAACTTGAGGTATGCAGTATGACACACCTTGCTTGCGGAAAGTGAACATGACTTGAACCACTTAGACATGAAGATCAAAGACTACCACCTTCAGTATGGATTACAGCTCAACATAAAGAAAACAAAAATTCTCACAAGAGGACCCATAAGCAACATCACCATAAATGGGGAAAATATTTTATTTGTTAAGGATTTCATTTTATTTGGATCTGCAATCAAGGTCCATGGAAGCACAGTCAATAAATCAAATTTGTTGTTGTTATTATATGCCGTAGAGTCAGCCCCGACTCATAGCGACCCCTCCTTGGGTTTCCGAGGCAGTATCACTACGGAAGTAGGATTGCCCAACCTTCCTTCCGGGAATAAATCAAATAGTGTATTTTATTAGGTAAATTTGTTGTAAAAGTCCTCTTTAAAGTGTTAAAGAGCAAAGATGTCACTTTGAGGACTAAAGAGCACCTAACTCAACCCATGGTATTTTCAGTTGCTTTATATGCATTGGAAAGCTGGACTCTAAATAAGGAAGACTGAGGAAGAATTGGTACATTGGAATTATGGTGTTGGCGAATAATATTGGATATACCATGGACTGGTGAAAAACATATTTGTCTTACAAGAAATATAGCCAGAATGCTGCATGAAAATGAGGATGGAGTGACTTCATACCACATAGGACTAGTCCCTGGAGAAGAACATTATGCTTTGTAAACTAGAGCATCATCAAAAAAGAGGAAGACACTCAAGTAGATGGATTAACACAGTGACTGCAACAATGCTTGAGCATAGCAATGATTATGAGGATGGCCCAAGACCAGGTAGTGTTTTGTTCTGTTGTACACAGGGTCACCATGAGTCACAACCATCTCAATAGCACAACAACAACAGTAGTAAAATGTTGGTTTTTTCAGTAGCCACTTTTTTAGTAGTGGATGGCCCCATTTTTCCCAGTTAGTCTTCGTCTGGAAGCTCCAGTGAAACCTGTCCACCATGGGTGACTCTTATGGGTTTGAATTACTGGTGACAAAGCCTCCAGCCTCACAGCAACACACAAGCCACCACAGAACAATAAACTGATAGACAAGTTCTACTATTATCTAATACAGGAAACTATGGTGGTGCTGTGGTTAACCCTTGGGCTGCTATCCAAAATTTTGGTTCAAACCAACTAGCTGCTCTGTAGGAGAAAGATGAGGCATCTGCTTCTATAAAGATTTGTAGCTGTGAAAATCCTATGGGGTTGCTGTGAGTTAGAATAGAGCCCAAGGTAGTGGGTTTGATTTTTTGGTAGTATGTAATACCTATTAGTATTGACATTTTGTCATTTTGAGTAAACCATGTCAACTTTATTTTCATTAGAATCCATTACCCTCCCCACCTTTTAAATACCACTGTCTTATTTCCTTTCCATATACTGAACATTACATCAGTTAGTGCTAAAATTTTTATTTGAATCACCAATTATAATTTGGAAAACTCATGAAGGAAAGAGTAGTCTATTGTATTTACCTGTATTTTTTTCTCCTTCTGTAGTTCTTTATTCTTTCTTGATGTTCCACTGTTCCTTGTTTTATTGTTTCCTTTGAGAACCTTTTGTTTTATCTTTTTATTGTGATTTGAGTGAAAGTTTACAGAACAAATTGGTTTTCCATCCCACTTTTCATACATGCTTTGCTTCGTGACATTGGATGCAGTTCCCACATAGTAACAGTACTTCCTCCCTGTGGTTTCCACCTCCATTTGTCCTTATTGCCCATCCATTCCTGCCTTCTGAGCTTTATCCCTGGGCAAATGCTGTTCTTTGGATTTCAGATGGTTGATTGTTCTAAGGAGTTCGTACCTCCATGGTGTTATTATTCACCCCATAGGACTGTCTATTATTTGGCTGAAAGTTGAGCCACAGGGGTGAGTTCAGTTTCAGGTTTGAAAGTTGTCCTTTGAAGAACTTTCTTTCTCCTTTAAGATGGTTCTGCTAGTGACAAATTCTTGTACTTTTCCTTCTTCTGAGAATATACTTATTTTACTTTCAATCCTGAAGGATAGTTTTACCTAATAACAATTCGAGGTTGACGATTCTTTATTCTCAGCCTTGAAAATGTGCCACTCTCTCTGGCCTCCATTATTTCAGGTGAAAAATTCATTGTCTTTCAAATTGGTGTTTCTGTATAGATAATACATGATTCTATCTGCTTGCTTTTCCTTCTAGTTTTCAGAAGTTTTAATTTTGATTTATCTTGGCATAGATTTCTATTTGTCATTTATTCAACTTCTTGACTCTATGAGTTTATGTGTTTTATCAAATTTGAGTAGTTGTCAGCTAATAATTCCTTGAACATTCTTTCTGCCTCGCCTTCTTTCCCCTTTTCTTCTGCAACTCTGATGGCACAAAATGTTTGATTTTTGTTATTGTCCCACAGATCCTTGAGGCTCTATTTATTTTTTTCCATCTGTTTTCTTTCTAATATTCAGGTTACTTGAATTATATTGATCTGTCCTTAAATTCACTGAGTCTCTTCTCTGTCATCTCCACAATACTATTGAGTTGATATGGTAAATGTTTATTTTTGGTTAATTTTATTTTTCATTTCTATAATTTCAATTTGGTTTGTTTGCAACTTTTTTTTTTTTTTTGAAGCTTTCTTATTTTCTCATTTATCTCAATATAATTAGTAATTTCTTATGCATTTTTGTGGTGGCTGTTAAAAATCCTGCTCAGAAAATTTCAGCATCTGATTCATTTCAGTATCTGTATCTGTCAGTTGTCGTTTCCCATTCAACTTGTGAATTGCATGGTTTTGGGTATGACAAGTGTTTGTTATTTGTTTTAAATTATACCCTGCACATTTTGGTTATTATGCTGGAGCCTCTGGATCCTATTTAAATCTTTTATTCTAGAAGGCAGTCACCCAGTTTAGTTTTAGCACACAGGTCTTGGTTTGCTTTGGTAGGCTATGATTCCAATGACAGTTTAATTTTCAGATCATTTGTGGAGCCAGTTTGGCCAGTCTGATTGATCTGATTCTTCCAAACTTCCCACTGATCCCTACTACTGCCACCTATGGGGACAGAGGAGCTTTCCCAGACCAGACCACCTGGTGGCTATATGTGGGGCAAGGTAGTCTCTCACTCATGAGGAAGATGTCAGTTTGCTTTGCTGGGTTCTGTTCAAGCTGGACTTTCCCTGCCAGTGGTGCCCAGCCTCCTGGAGTCTGTAGGTTGAGAAGGCGAGTTTCCAGCCAAGTGAGGGAGGAGACCTTTTCCCCCTGACGCTTGTTATTGGGTAGATTTCTGCATCATTTTCTTTTCCAGTGCCACCAGCCTATCCTGATGTTCCTGATGAGATTCCCATTCAGTGGGTCATAATAATGAATCTGCAAAGGAGTCACCACCTTTGGTTGCTAAGTTGGGGTTCAGAAATGTGGGAACCTACTATTGTGTAGGAGGCTTAAGACATCCTGTCACTGCATTATTCCTAGAGACTTGGTGCTCCTAACCAGTAATTCTCTTCTGGTTTGCAGACTACTCCTGTAGTTGCCTCTTGCTTAATACAAGGGTTTATAATTATTTCTACCAGGCCCATAATAACAATAATATATATATATATATATATATATATATATATATATATATATATATAATGGTTTGTCGCTAAATGAGTTGAGAAGCATAATTCAGCAAGCTACTATGAGATCTCC